GCTTTCTTGTGCATCATCTTTAGAAGAGGCTTCCTTCTGGGACGACAGCCATGCAGACCAATTTGATGCAGTGTGCGGCGTATGGTCTGAGCACTGACAGGCTGACCTCCCACCCCTTCAACCTCTGCAGCAATGCTGGCAGCACTCATACGTCTATTTCCCAAACACAACCTCTGGATATGACGCTGAGCACGTGCACTCAACTTCTTTGGTCGACCATGGCGAGGCCTGTTCTGAGTGGAACCTGTCCTGTTAAACCGCTGTATGGTCTTGGCCACCGTGCTGCAGCTCAGTTTCAGGGTCTTGGCAATCTTCTTATAGCCTACGCCATCTTTATGTAGAGCAACAATTATTTTTTCAAATCCTCAGAGAGTTCTTTGCCATGAGGTGCCATGTTGAACTTCCAGTGACCAGTAGGAGAGAGTGAGAGCGATAACATCAAATTTAACACACCTGCTCCCCATTCACACCTGAGACCTTGTAACACTAATGAGTCACATGACACCGGGGAGAGAAATGGCTAATTGGGCCCAATTTGGACATTTTCACTTAGGGGTGTACTCACTTTTGTGGCCAGCGGTTTAGAAATTAATGGCTGTGTGTTGAGTTATTTTGAGGGGACAGCAAATTTACACTGTTATACAAGCTGTACACTCACTACTTTACATTGTAGCAAAGTGTCATTTCTTCAGTGTTGTCACATGAAAAGATATAATAAAATATATACAAAAATGTGAGGGGTGTACTCACTTCTGTGAGATACTGTATATATGAAAACTGACACACACACATACACACACACACATATAGTTTTTTATTAATATTATGAACCAGTTTTTAATTATATACTTTTGGTTTTTCATTTATTTTATGTGTTTTTGTCCTTGTTAGTTGTTTTTGTTTCTTTTATATGTGTCAGTTTTCATTCATTTTTCATTAATTTTTTGTTTTATTTTAGTACATCAAGTTAAACAATTAAAATAAGAAATGTTGCCTTGGCAAAAAAATTTTACTTGTTTATTTCAAGTAATGAAAATGGTTGTTTTATGGTTTAGTTTCAGGTTTAGTCACTACAATAACACAGAAACACACACATATAATGATATTACTGACTATTTAAAACTCATTTTAGTAAAGCGCTCTGTAAACTTAGAGGTCATTAATGAAGTATAATGTTACAGTATTTAAAAACAAAATTGTGTCATGTGGGAAGCTAATACTGCACTTCTGGAATGGTAAACACAATAACTACAATCAATGATGACAGAAAACTCACGTCAGCATTTCTGCAGTCCATTAATGTACGTGTGCAATAAAACTACATGACCTTCTTTTATTGCAGCCCATGCCGTTTATTAGGAAAGTTGCCCAGTCATGACTCATCCAGGCCTGTTTTTACTGCCACGCTCACTGGACTGGATAATCTCCAGATAAGGTAAAGAGTGAGTTTAGTCTTACAGAATGATAAACCTACAGCGGCTCTCATATCTCATGAGGCCAGGCACACACACACACACACTGCACCTCCCTAAAACACACTCCATCACTACACATCAATGAGACACACCCAGCGTCCATATTTAACTTTTTGCCACACCTGGCAATGGCAGGTCAACTGAGATAATAACCCAGCCATAAATTATTAACCGATATTATTTAACAAAGGCCTTTTTTTTTTCAATTCCTAATCAAGTTAGTTGCCAGATGGCTAAACTGTTTCATGTACTTGCCAAAGCCAATTTGTACTTGCATTAATGCTCATTGTGTGTCAGTTTTGGATCCTGGCCACTACCCTGTATTTGTACTGCGTTAGGATCAAGTGTAAATACACACAAGCTGTGCTCACTTTGGCCTCTCAAATGCTCCAACCTCACCGAGTGTCAAAGAGCCTCGGCGCTCAACTGGAAGGGTAGAATAATCAAATTACTTCCAGTTATTTAAGCATGTGTGCGGTCCCACCAGTCCTCGTTTAAGACTATCATCAACAGACGACTGGTTTTGGGTGCAGGAAGGGGCACTTTTACTGCTTTATAAAGTAAGCAGGACTGCACAACAGTTCATGAGCTGGTCGTTGCCTAATTAGGACCCGAAGTAGATAAATATCAAGTGTGCTTTTTAAAACAGTATGCGAACACAGCGGGAAACTCTGTATATTCATGCAGTGTGCGCATGTCAAAAGATTAAATCCGATCAGAAGCTTGTGACATATAAACGCGCATATCAACCCGATCACTTTATTTAGCGTTCATGTAAACAATACTTTCGGATTCGTCAATCAGAATGAATTCATTCCGATGGAAGCAAAACGTGTCCATGTAAACGTACCTAGTAGCACTTCCACCACCACATGAAAAGCTCAACACGTATTTCAGATGCAGTTAAATACTAACGCAGAGACACTGAGGAATATACAGAGGTATGTCTACCTTCCCAGATGCCGTTTTCATCAAAGCAAACTCTCTGACAGCTCCAATAAGGGCTGCTTCCTCATCAAACCCTGTGCCTGAGGACATAAACACACGCCGCAAAAGAGACAACACCAAGTTAGTTAATTTCAACACGCGTTTCCTCTTAAACACTGATGTGCATGCATAGACGTGTGTGCACTGAAGCGCCGCTCTCACTGATGATATGAAGGTCTTTCTCCAGGTCAAAGAGGGAGATGCCACAGGCATGAAGACACTTCCTGGCCAGTTTGAGCTGCAGTTCCTGCTGTAGGGCTGGGTCTGAGCTGGTGGCGTAGATCCGCACCACAAAGCCATCCTAAATAAACCAAAACATACACACAGAAACATTAATCTTCATAAAAACGACATCTGCTTGTCAATGGAAAGTCAATGCTTGGTAGCCAGTGGAAGCATTTAAGCACAATTATATGGTTATTAAACATTTAAGCTGAGCTGCAATAGGAGGTTCTTTAGGAGGGTGATGTGAGGTATCTTTTCAACGCGTAAAACACTTCTTATCCCAGTTAAATACGCAAATTCAGCTACAAGCAAGCGTTTGTAGGTCGATTCCGCTAAAGAGATGTTTTGATTACACTTTATTTTACAGTGTATTTACCCAGGAAAGTACTGGTAGTATATGGTAACTACATGGGTTAAGTTAGGTTTAGGGGTAGGTTCAGGATTAGTACCTAGTTATTACACATTTATTGTAATTGCTATAATAAGTACACAGGAACAGGACTGTAAAATAAAGTACTACCCATGTTTTCAACACATTGTTCTGTTTGTTTGAGCATCCCAGTTAGTTTGACATAGTGATCTTTTCTTGAAAAAGCAACCAATGGCGTGAGTTTGAGGCGGGACTATCTGTTGCAGCAATTCTGTTACATTCCTTCTGTCTTGATAAGTTGCCATCCCAAACCGGCCAGTCAAGTGTTTTTATTTGTTTGTTTTTTTCCCCAGGCAGTCTTCAGTGGCGAATACTTTTGCCATGCCGCCACATAGGGACTATATGGGATTTTGCAGTGTCACTCTTTTGCTCAAGTCAACTGCAGCTTTTGAATACTTCTTTGAATACATCTTTCTGCTAGTTAGTGAGCTTTATGCACTGTCTGTGACTGATTTGCACATACACAGTCATAACAGTAACATTTTAGTGAAATTTCATGGGCAAAAAAAGGTCCATTGTAAATAGTGTAGCGACATATGATGTACATTTCACACAGAAATCACTTTCAAACCAAGCAGCTTTCTAATCGTTGCGTTGATCAACTTGAACCTGTTGCAAAATATAAATGGGGTCATTCGCTCTCGCATGAAATTACTGATTGCACGGATTCCCAATGAAATTACTGGATTTTGCCCACAAAAATTGTCCGAATAACAGTAAATGTGACCGTACCTTAACCCAAATTTCTATGTGTGAATCAGTCCATGGACATGGCTGCTTTTGGACATTCTTAAAACCAGTCTGGTGATAATATAATGATTCAAATGTAAAATTTTTAATACCCTCCAATGAAACCAAAATTTCCAAGCTTCAAAATTGACAAAGACACTGTAAAAGCAATCAATATTCAACAAGCAATTTTATCGAAGTCTGTTCTCACGCATTCCATTGACCATATTTGATTAGCTTGGTCAATATTCATACAGGAATAAAAGCTAAATTAAATCTGTTCATCATATTAAGAAATTATGTCTCTTCAGAAGATTCATGTGAATTAAACAAGAAAACTGTTCGATTTATAGGTATTATTTTTACGGACTTGTGGAGCATCAAATTTTGGTGTAATGGACTTTCAATAAAGAGACATATCTCTTTCATTTAAAATATCTTCATTTGTGTTTCAGAGCGAAAGTCTTGTGGGTTTGGAACGACATAAGGGTGAGTAATTGTTGACAATTTTTTGAACTACACCTTTAAAGTTGCTGGTTTGCAGTGTTGCAGTAATGTGGAGTGGACTGCATATTTTCACATTTTGAATTTCCTAATGCTTTTTGTTTGTTTTTATTACAAACAGGAGCCTAGAGGCTAGGGCTGTGCATCACCAGCAAAGTCACGATACGGTACGTATCACGATACAGAGGCCACGATATGATACTCATCACGATACAGGACTGCACTGAATTTCACCTCAGCAGAATTTAGTAAAACAGCTGTTTATTAAACACGGCATACTATAGGGCCATTTCTAACTACTGGCGGAGCAGGCAGTTGACCTCTGCATTATGAAGGGCCTCCATAACTGTACCACAGTACAATATAGGTAATGGCATATGTTTCATGTTTACATTGGGTACTCCGCACCAGGTACAATATTCTGATTGTTTCCATCTTGTTTTTAAGCCCATAAATAATAATGTACTCGTTCTAATAAATTTATATTGTAATGTACTCATACTAATATATTTTAAAAAATCATCTTTACATTGCTGGTAGGTTATGATTGCACAAATTAACACACTTTCTACATTTAAAAAAATAAAAATAAAAATTAGAAGAGTTCTAAACTAATGCGCTGTCTTCACTGTATCTAACGCACACACGTTTAGTCACTAACACAGACCACGTTGCGCGTGCACAGACATGAACCTTTTTCACATTTCCTGGTTTCTCAGCAGCGGAAGTCATCATAGTTGGGTTAACTTGAATAGCAGTGAATGGGAGAGTACTACACATATATTTTTTGCATTCCCATTTGCTCAAATAGCAAAACAAAAACTCCACGATAGTGTTTTCATGACTTTCAATAAAAGGAAAAAAATTGAGAGAGACTGATAACGGCAGTCAGAAGAGAGAATGATGTCAAATTTACCGTCCCTCCCATAGACACTGCATTAGAAACACCCTCGCATTAGCGTTAACTGTTTTTTTGTAATTTGATGCAAAGGTGATATAATACAAAGAATAGTGTTATAAATGTACATACATTTTTTTTTAAATACAAATATGAAAAACTTTCGAGGATTTACGATGCTGATGACCGTTAAACGCATCATCACAGTCTTGTGAAAAGGGTCAGCAACAAATTTTTTTGCGCTGCCCCGCAATTTTATCAATAAAATAGCTTAATCGCTCAAGAGCTACATTATCTTTCTCAACAAGGAGCTGGTAACTTCATTGTTTCTAAAAGAATTAAAGCCACAGCTTCATTGTTAATAGAGAAACGCGGCAAAACGGTGGTAATTCATACATGCACAGCCCCTCTCTCTCTCTCATAAATGAACACTCGATGAATAACACTTTTCTGAGAATAGAATATTGAAGTGGAGATCGATAAACTGCAAGCGAACCGATGTTTTCAGAAAGCAAGCGCGTTTATCCACAGTGGAGAGAGAGCGCGTGTGCACATGGTTGCCAGGTTGACAAAGATAAGCAGCACACTTAGCAGATATTTCCGTATTGCGCAAGTGGGGAGCTCTGTTTCGGGGATTACGTCTCTTTATATCAGGCAACCCCGGTTGTGTTCCTCTGCGGCTAGATTAAACCTTGTTGTATCCTATATATAATTATGCTCTATTCATTATTTTTTAGAAACCTCGCACTTTTCTACTCATTTTAAACGGTGTTCTTGTATTCAAATTAAGCGCAGTCCACTGCTGCACACGTGCCACAATATCGATACAGGGCCAGCTGTATCAATACTCCTATCGTCAAATCTGTGACGATACATCGTCGTATCGATGTATCGAACACAGCACTACTAGAGACATCATATCCTGTTTTTTTACTATGATAATTCTGCATACTTAAAGTCCAGTGTGACCGCGTTTTAATACTGAACAGTTAATCTTTCTTCTGCTGACAGGGCTTGTTTCAAAGCTCACCAGAATAGTCATAATCTCAGAGGCTTTGACACCATTAATATCTGAGGAAGCACAGTGAGCACATGAGGGTCAAAGGGAGAATTTAACTGTGTTAGCATTGCACATGGGAGATGCAAAGTGAAAACGCACCCTCACTAGCAGCAGCCTCACACATACTGATCCAGCTTCATCCAGAAACACACACACTTAAGTTCAGGGTGTGTACAACATGGGTGAGACTAGGGTTTGCAGTCTGTGAGTTTGCATAAGTGAGCATGTGATAAAAAACAGAAGACAACACACTGGAGTCTTTGATTTGCCGCTGTTAACGAGTAAGTGAGCGAGCTTTCAAACACCTCGCTCTTTGCTCCAGGCAAAATCACACTGCTAACAAATACACATGCCCTTCGTCCTTCCTCCAAGATATGTGGCATAACAGTTCATAGCATTAACCCTTACAACTTCCCCCCATAACCCCAGCACTCCCTCACTTATCATCTCTCATTCATGTATGCATAAAGAGATCATCAAAGGCAGATATGAATTATCACATCCCCTCCCCGTACTGCTGCACACTCACGATCAGCCAGTGGGTTCAATCCTAAGAGAAATGCCCACATCCACTGCTGCAGCCCCTCCCCTGCCTACATGGCTATTATGCACACACTCGTCTGAAGACACACACACACAGCATGGCTGAAATGGGCTGAAACAAAAGAGAGCAGGTGCTGCTGACAGTCACAATCACACCACTTGAGAAAAAGGCACTGATCGTGTTTGTATGATGTGCAGGGGGAGGAACAGGGGAATCTGTTGTCGTCTGATGAAGACGGAGGCATGGAGAAAACAGGCTGGTCATTTTGGATTAAACAAACTAAACATTTCTTGGGGTTCTTGCACTATTATCCATCTATTCCACTCTCATTGCAGTCTAAGAGAACCATTTAAACACTCATCTTGGTTGGCAACATCAGCTGGTCGCAAATCATTGAAGAATTAACTGTTAAATTACAGTTTTCTAGTAAATATGACTGACTCCAGAGTTTAACATCAGCATGTTTCTAAGTTAATGGCAAGAAACTTTAAACAGCAGGAAAAAAATAAAAAAGCACATGCAAATATTTTTATATACACAATACTGTTCAAAAGTTTGGAGTCGGTAAGATTTTTAAAAGCTTTTGAAAGACATCTCTTATACTCACAATAATACATTTATTTAATAAAAAATATGGTAAAATATTATTACAATTTAAAATAACCGTTTTCTATTTTAATATTTTTTTAAATGTAATTTATTCCTATGATGCAAAGCTGAATTTTCAGCATCATTACTCCAGTCTTCAGTGTCACATGTTCCTTCAGAAATCATTCTGATATGCTGATTTGCTGCTCAAGAAAAATGCATTATTATTGAAAACAGTAACAAGTATATTATTGTAAAAAAAAAAAAAAAAAGATTCTTCAATGAATAGAAAGTTCAAATGAACCGTATTTATTTGAAGTAGGAATATTTTGTAACATTAGAAAATGTCTTTACTAAAATGTCACCCTTGCTGGATAAAAGTATTTATTACTCAAAAACAAATCTTACGGACCCAAAACATTTTGAACTTTAGTGCATTACACTATATTACATTATTCTGAACAATTCTTTTGGTCAGTACCTTTACAGATCAGTATAATTATTACCAAAGAAAGCCTGATGCATACACGTATATTTATATTCAATAAATAAACTCTCGCTTTGTTTGCCATCTTAGATTGATTTTTTCCACTTGGCACAATGCATTGTGGGATTGCCTTCTCCCTGAAGAATTCATACATAGTTGCCTTTTCATTTGGTATAATTATGCAGCCCACATTTTGAAAAAGCCTTTGTGACTATGATGCATCCAAAGACAGCTCACTAGGTCTTGGAAAAGAGCGACATTGCCAAAGAATAAAACCACTTACATCTTTGCAGGCTGCAATCTGGTTGATATATTCTCCATCAGTGAATATGATGTTCTGACCATCTGCTTGTAGACCTGAGAAAGAGAGAGACATTTTAATTTGTAACAGACACTTTTTACAGTTCCAGACTACAGTCCAAATTACACTGAAGAAAGGCTTGTCATAATCAATACAAGACGTATTATTTTATATAAACTACTTCATATCACTACATAATATATTTATTGCTATGTAGATGGCAAACTAAAGGTCACTGACAATTCAGGGAAATAAGGGACAAGCCCCTCAATACATCCTGTTTAAATAGGAAACATGTCAACACATGGAAGAAAAGTGTGCTGGTCAAGCCATTTATTTGCCCTGCTCTTAGCGATCAATAGCACATAAGAGGAGTGTTTGTACCCGGCATTGTGATGGTGCCCTCCTGCTCCAGAGTCTCTGGGTTGATCTTAATGGCCTCCATGCTGTGACTGTTCATGTCTCGATACAGCAAACAACCCTGTAAAGCAAATCGCCACAGGAAAATTTATTTTGTAAGGCTGTTCAATGAATGACATTTTTGGTCGAAAACATCATAAGCACCTAATGCTTTATTTATGAGATAAGATCAATAGATCAAACCCATATTAAGTACTATACATGGAGTACATTGATGTTATATAAGCAGACAATCAAGAGAAGCTCATAAAACTCAATAGGTCAACAATACCTGGGCGAATCCCAGCCATGACCTCTTCTCCTTACGGTTCCTGATACGTGATGTGGAGTTGTACACATGGCCCTGCAATCGATAGCCTCTTATTAGCACCCACACAGACACAAGGATATACAACCTGCTGCATCAGCACTGCAAACCACATCCACGACTTCACAAATCTCAAAATTGTCAAATAAAAACTTGAGTTGTATATAAACATTCAAATTGCACATAAGGAAGTTTTATATCACCATAATTATGTTTCTACTCCATATTCATTGTTGAAATAGAAACATTAAAACAATGGCTGTAATAAAAATATTTTCGATATTAGTATTTATTTATATGAAAATTTAGTAATATTTCTGAAATGCTGGTGCATATCAACTAGTAATTACTAATTCATTACAAATAATTGCTGAACTACTTTAGTCTAAAAAAATGCTTAGTAAAATTAACTTCTATAATTTTAATTGTGCAATCAGGTAAATAAAGGATGTCCTTACCCGCACGGTGCCACTGTACCCTGAGCCCACTTTGTAGAGGCCATCTTTACAGAGCAGGTACAGGAAGGAACCATCAGTTTGAAGAAGACAGCGTTCATCTTCATCGATGCTCACCTCCTTCAAAACCCATTTGTTCATCAGTGCGGCTCTCTTGATGCCGTTCCCAAACCAGTCCTGGATCTGGATCTTTCCCACCAGCACTGCCTGCACACTCCTCTGAAGGGCGTTAAGGATTGTTGGAACCTTTTGTTACACAAATATAGTCGGGTCAGATAAAAAAAATATATAAGATATAGTCTGCATATTTTTAAGATGATCTTAAAAATATAGTCTTAAACAGTTCTTGAGCATTCTTCACCTTGAGAAAGCACACAAATACGGAGTTATTTTTCATGTCTTCTTGCACTTAAACGGACAAATTCGCAAAAATGGCAAAATGCCCGTCTTATTGAGTATCCTTGTAAACCGATCAGTTATGTCTTAAGTGAAAATCGGAAAAAAAGGTAAAAATCTGATTTTTGACAGTATATTAGATCCGTGCAATACACTGTGTAAAAAAAAAATTAAAAAATTAAAAAATTTAAAAAAAAAGCGTTTTCTTAGTTGTAAATAACGATTATTGGAGTACACTTCTTTAGTCTATTTGTACCATTTCCTAGCAATTTCTGAGTAAAACCGTTGCAAAGTAAATCCAGCACCCATTTTTTTTCCCTCAGTGTAGGTCTTAAACTGACAGCAGCCTAATATAGCATTTGATAACTTTATTCAATTTCTGTTGTATTTCATACTGTACCTGAATGCTACTGTTAGAATGTTTTCTGTTTACCTGTCTTTAATAATGTTTGAACATACAGTATTAGCTGGCTTGTAGTTTTTGCTGTGGCATTGAAACTGGAATCAAGAATTGGGACATTTTTTATTATTTTCTAAAATGTTGGTGTCGTAACAACCTTATTTGTTAAAATACAATGCAACATGGGTCAAAAAAACGAGAAAAAACTTTTCTATGGTGAGGCCAGTGAAAATTTCAGCAGGCCAAAAACTGGCGTTGATCAAAATGATTTGGCTGGTTTGTCATTGGTTTGAATCAGTCTAATGACTCACTCCGTGGCTGAATAACACTGAGATGACTCACTCAGTGATGTTACGTTTCAAAATGAACAAGTGTTACGGTGTTATTGTTGTACTTTAAGGCTTGTGAGACTTACAACAATGCAGTTACTGACTGGTTGTTCATTTGACTGTGTGAAGTTAAGATAAAGACCTACCAAACCCCTCTCTGCACTTCTTGACCTTCACAAGATGGACAGCATGCCCCCTTCATCTATTTCACATCATATCCCCAGGACACTTTTTTCCCCCTTGTTTAATATTTATGTTGATCATTATTTAACATAAACCACTGTGACTGTCTTCGCTGACCCCACCAAAGAGTTTAGCCGATGGCAGTAAGGTACTCTGATGAGCGATGCTACAGATGACAAAGAGGTTTATTGAAATTCTAGAACATCAATGTTATTGCTTTAGATGACTCTTCAGTCAATAATGACATTTAGTTTTATTGCACCAGCTCTCCAGAGGATGAAGTACCCTTCTCTGTTCTTTAACTTTGACTCAAGTCTTACACTGCCAGCTTTCTAATTATTTCAATAAATCGATTGGAATCCATGATTCCGTGATTTGCTCATGGACATTCCTGTTGATTTTTCATATAGAAAAAACATTGCAAGTAAATATTGAGGTTTACTACTATGTAAAGTTATATTTGTGATTATGAATTAAAATGATTAAATATTGTTTATCCTTAAGTCCATTTAGTCGTAAACAAAGTGGAAAACATGCCTTCATTATTTTAAAATATTTTCATTGTATGTTACGTAAATGCATTAAACATTTACATATTTGGCAACAGTGGCTGTTTGGTTTACACATAAACCAAAAACAATACACATAAAAAAATTAATATATTTATACCATATATACCATTTATGCCATTTAAAATCTATTATATCATAAAAAAGCTGAAAAACATTGTCCAGCTCTGCAAAGCACTTGATCTGGATATACATGTCAACATTTGTCTGTTTTTCAGTTTCACTCTGAACCACTTCAAGTTGGACGTGTGCACTGTAAACTGACAGTGAGCGACGGCTCAGATATCACACTTACACATACACAAGCTATGCAAGTTACTCATGCTCCAATTAGGTTGTAGTTACCTTGGTAACAACAAATGAACTCTGTGCTTCTCTGGTGTCTAAATCAGTGTGTGATACTGACAGAGAGCATTAAAACACATTTAAATAAGCAAAAAAATGACAGACCAATATCATGCAGATGGTAGAAGACTGAGGAATAATTGGCTGAGGGACTTGACATTTTCAGGCAATTCAATAGTTGACCTCCTCATGCAGTTGAGAGATGAGCGGTAATGTAGCTTTTTATGCACTCTAAAACCTCAACCTCACTTACCAAGCAAAAACTAAACTAAACTGTTAAAAATCAGACTAAAATAATCAGTTCTTTTGTTAAAAATACACTTCAGGTACTCTTTTCTGAAGTTTGGATTCTTTAGAAGGAGATGCAGAGCAGTAGGTGCTACACACAGTCAGAAACAGCACAAATTTGACAGACTTTACCACATTTTACTTTTATTGTTAGATCTTCTAGTGTTTAGGAATAATATCTATTTAATAACTTCTATCTAGAAACTGTTCAGTGGCATCAGTGGAAGGAGCATCTTCCTCAAAACTTTAAAACATGCAATCTCAAAACACTGACTCACCTGGATGGTCTGGCATGCATGACTGCCATTGTTGGTGAGGATGGCAGACACAGCCTGGAGGATTTTGCCAGTGTCTCCCCAGGCCACCACCAGGCTGAAGAGGCAGGCACAGGACAACGCTGTGAGGGTCTGACCAGTGGGGTCGTTCATCCCTGTGCTCCGCACGGTGGTCTCCAGCAGAAGATGAAAGAGAGACTCTGCAGGGCCAACAGTGGTGTCATGATTAAACTATACAGACACTTTATTTGAACAGGAGAAGGTATCTCACCCAGCACATCTGGAGGTTCAGTCTGAAAGCTCTCCGGCTGTTGTCCCTGGAGCATATCTAAAAGGGCCTGAAGGCTCCGTAAGCACAGTGACGGGTGTGAAAAACGAGTCTCTTTGATGAGCTCAAACACTCCACACAGCCCAATACCAATGATCTGAGGAGCAGAGGAACATAGCTGTGAAGTAACATTAATCCACAATAGAGATCCACCAAAATAACATTTTAATGGCCAATGCCAATATCTAGACAGTAGGATGACCCAATGACTTATAAAGGCAAATTAATCATATAAAATGTATATTAAAAAATACAAAAACAACAATAATTTTCAATATTTATTCAAAAATGTCTTTACAAAAACAAACAACAAATAGCAGACACTGGATTGACTGAATTGATTCTTAAAGGGGTCATATAAAATGTATATTAAAAAATGCAAAAACAACCATTTTCAATATTTACTCAAAAATGTCTTTACAAAAACAAACAACAAATAGCAGACACTGGATTGACTGAATTGATTCTTAAAGGGGTCATATGATGTTGCTAAAAAATAATATTATTTTGTGTATTTGGTGTAATGAAATGTGTTTATGCGATTTAAGGTTCAAAAAACACATTATTTTCCACATACTGTACATTATTGTTTCTCCTCTATGCCCCGCCTTTCTGAAATGCGTCGATTTTTACAAAGCTCATCGGTCTGAAAAGCGAGGTGTGCTCTGATTGGCCAGCTATCCAGTGCGTTGTGATTGGCCGAATACCTCAAGCGTGTGACGGAAATGTTACGCCCCTTACCATACTGTGATGCCCTGTCTGGCCGAAGCGACGAGACAAAAACATTAAAACCCATTATAAACGAGCAGGGTGTCCGCGGGGTCTTAAAAAGTATTAAGTATTAAAAAGTATTAAAAGTTGATAAATCAATTTAGATCAAATTAAGGCCCTTAAGTATTAAAAAGTCTTAAATGCCATTTTCCAAGGTATTACATTTTGTATCATCTTTTCATTATGTATATTTGTCCAAATAGTGGACAATAGTTTGTGTAGTTTATTAATGGAATCCCGCAAGATTTGACGTCATCAGTTACGACGCTCACTGACTGACTGCACCACTGCGTGATAGTGCGGGGCTTGTTGATCCCGCTCTGGCTGAACTTCTGACCATTACCGCATGCTCCCATCCGCTCCCGCGATTTTTGTGTCCGCTCCCGCAAACATTCTAATAATGTATATAATTTTCGTGCATCAGGGCGCCGCTATCAATATGTGAATGAGCGCTCTCAGTTCACTTTCACTTTCGATTTCGCGATCGCGAGTACACTGTGTAAATGGAGCACATATTACGATAAAAGATATTTGTCAGTGAGCTCGGGATCTGTTGAGGAGCAAATCCTCCAACATCTTGTCAGTTATCTCTCCTTGCTTTTGACCCATGTTCAGTCAAATCTGACTTCTGCAGCTCGTGTTGGATGCAGGGTTGTTTTTTCCACGAAATTGGGCTGCTTTTAAACTGTTGCCATGGGTTGATTTTCCCCAGTGGGTTAAAGGTTTGAAATACTGAATAAATTGCATTTGGTTGAAATGCTTGTACTGAAACATTTTGCATTCTACCTGTAATAAAACTGTGCTAAATGTTTTGGGCCACACTAGTAGGAAGCATTTGAGCTGTGTTTATGATAAATGTGCATAACAGCGACTGTAAAATATGTATTTTAGGGATGGAAATTGCATTTTTTATTTGGGACATAATTGCGCTACTTTGGGCTGTTTTTTTTTACAAGCATGGGCTTGGGATGCACAATTAAAATGATGTAATATTTGTGATCATTATTTTACCTTCCATGATCATTCAGACACGATCAGGTGCAGTACTGAGACACTGTCAAGTCTGCATCAAATCAAGCACTCCGTAATCACAGATAAACTGTCTGATCAGTCAGATGTTTGTCAAGAGAAGTGTTCCACAAAACAGCTATGGTTTGCAGACAGTTATAAGAGTTGATATGACAAATACAACTTTTGAATATATTGTGTGAACACATTGCCCTGTTAGCTCGAAGAGCTTTATTTTCCCTCCTCAATAAGTTTTGTCAGTTGTTTTGTTTATTGGTCTAATTCTTGTTTCTTGGGTTGCATTGGTTAGTCACTCAATTAATTATCTTGTGCTTCGTT